GGCACTTGCGGGTGTGAATATTGCCTGACCATGCAGAGCTGCTCCCGGGAACGGACGGGTTCACTCGTGTCACAGCAGCAGCTCAGCTCGGCTGACGATGTTAAGCACTTGGGCAAGACAGGAGGGAGCTGGAACGGGAGTTTCACGGGGGGGGAGCTGCCTTCCCTCCCCAGCTGTGGGGACTTCACCAGCTTCCACGGCAGCTGCCCAGCAGCTACCCGGGACATTTACAGAGACAGAGGATGGATGCATCAGTGCGGACTCTGAAAAACATAATTTGAAGTGAAACCTTGATGGTAAAAGTCATAAAGCTCGGTACTCCATGGCCACTTTTACTATTTTACTAGATAGAAGCTAATAAAAAACCCATTGTTCAGAAGTGACTTTTTTTTTTTTTTGTGAAATTTAACGTGAAAATGGAGATTCGTTTTGAACTTAATATTGTGATGCTAACTTTGTGATATCAGAGTGAAAATAAGAATTCCAGCTTTTCCCTATTGTATCTTACAAAACGATGCAGGATTTCTGGAAGAGTGATGCTGTCTTTAGGAAGACATGAAGTTGTCTGGGAATTATTGGTGGTGTTTCATTTGCATTTGGGATTAATTTAATAGTCTCGAAGGGGCATGGGGTGAGAGAGGAAGGGTTGGGCAGGTAGCACTCACCAGGGTTCAGAAGGGGTTTTTTAAGCTTTTCTCCACCACCTGATGGACTATAAATCTGTTTCATGTTTTGAAATAAACACTTATTCTTGCATAGGCCTTTCAGTTGGGATACTGTGCCTTTATGCAAAACATGAAATGTTGAAGAATTATTTTAAAATCTGATTTGACAACAGCGGCATTATCATGAGATTAGGAAATGGTTTAGTTGTGTTTTGGTAAGTCTTTGCAACATGACCAGTGGCACAAATGTTCATATGCTATTACTGACTCCAGCTGAAGGAAAACAGAAAAACAGACACGAATAAAACGCAGTGACAGAAACAGCAACACTTGGACCCAACAGCGATTTGTGACCCACTGGGAACACTATTTTTTCCTAGTGGCTTAGTCATCTCTTGCCAGTGACAAAATTACTTACTGACCTCACAGTAATACCATGAAAAATACTCTATGCTTTCTTAAGTCAGGGAAGCTTCTGGAGCTCTGTATGAATGCTGTCAAACTGTATCTAAATAATTTACTGATGAGAAGGCAAAGAAATAAGGGGACGGTCCCTTCTTTGGCCCAGTATGAGGGATAATAAGGTGGAGAGAGATGTAGGATTTCTACATTGCCCCATGGAAAAAGAATTAGCTCAGGAATCTTTCTTACTTCCCAGATACCTGAATCGCCTGATATCTGTCACAGAGCAAATGTGACAAGATTGTGAATTACATGGATACCGTGCGGTTTAACCATTTTTAATTTCCTTCCTCAGACTTTCAGTGATGGAGAAAAGCAAACAGTTATTACAGCTGGAATAATCACCAAGAGTCTCAGGGTCTGACCTAGCCTAGATTTTACGTAATGGCAGTGGCTCATTAGGTGAAGGACGAAGTTTATGTATTCTTCTCTGGTTTTAAAATGTCACGGATGGAGTGACACACTTCACTCATAAGAGAGAAGTAGTAATATATATTTTGATATAAAACAATGTTTTAACAAAGTTTGCTAGTAAATGCAACAGTGGTTTAACAAGATTCAATGACAAGGTTCACTTGATATTTACGGCGTAGAGGGCAGGGTCAGAAAAAACTGTCAGGGAGACCCTCCAGTTGAGGCATAAGGTTCAGAATGGACCCACTTGCTTTCTAAACTCCTTCTCAGAGAGGAGTTTAGGTGCAGCTGCATCCACTCCTATTCCCATACTCGGTCAATGGTTTATATCTAAAGGATTAGATGTGCACAATCCTTTATATCACTGAGTTAGAATTTCAAAGTTTATCATGCTATTATATCACTTACTAAGAATCTGTTGCAGCAAGGAATCTTTCAACCTCGAGGAGTAACCTTGAGAGGTGTCTCTACTCAAGGTGAAATCCTGGCACGCAGCCCACTGCCATGCAGGAGAGGTCAGCAGGCCCTAGGCTGTCCACTATTTATGGACTAAGATAATTGATTTATAGTCCAACTACAAAAGTTATTTTCTTCCAAATTTGGCTTTTGTCCAAATTTCGGACATAGACCAGCACCCTGATTAGGTGGGTGCATTATTCAAATTAGCCCTCAGCTATTATACTTTTATCTGTCTCCCCTGAAACTACTTTGAGTCAGGTGCAGCCATCAGGACCAGATGCATCCATTATGCTCATCACTTGCATAGGGTTACAGGTAATACAGGTTGGGCTAGGGGGGTAAGGAGCATACCATCACAAAAAATCCCCAGTTCTGTGAAGCTTCAGACGAGCTACATTTCAATTTACATAGAAGAAGCTACTATGGTAACCCTCTTTGTGTTGCTAAGGCAACCATTTAATAATAATTAGTTCCTTTAAAACTAATTCACCTTTAATAGAGCATTAATGACTACACACAACACTTCCAAAAGGTGTGAACTTTCTGTGGGAAAGCATTATGCTACCATTTATAACACATCAGAAAGGCAACTTTTTTTTTTAAAAAAACAAGGAAACATAATTACTCCTCTTGACATATCCACAAATATTTGTGACTTGTGTCTACTGTACAGTCTCCACAATTTTATACTTTTGCTTGGAAAGCATGTGCTCAATATTATAAAACTTCAACAGGACTACAGCAATTCAGATCTCTCAAATTAATGAGTATCTTCATGATCTTATGGCATTCTGCTCTAGCAGGAAACTGTGTGCAGGAAAACTGTTTTTCCACCATCCTCAGAAAGAAGCAATGAGGTTTATCATTGTCAGGGGACATCTGTTACACTGCACCATGTACTGGAGGCACCCTTGGTCAGACGTGGCCATGAGATGGTTGGGTAGGACTGTGTGTCGAGGGATGTCTTGGGGGGGTGGCCCATGGCTAGGCAGGGCAGTGCTGTGGGAAACTGGGTACCAGCCCGGCTGTGGCATCAGCCAATAGTTCCAGGAGCTGAAATGGTGTCACGGGCCACGGGCAGGGTGGTAGAAGACCTCAGGTCCATGACTGAACCCAGCATTTAAAACAGCTTTCAAAGTCGGGAAAATCTGAATTCAGGTCTAAGACGCACACCTCAGATGCGAACTTCATAACGTGGGAAATTTCACTCTATGTATATTCAGCTAAATGACAGTTCAACAGTTGTGAAACTTGAGTCTGAATCCATGCTTGCTCCCTAATTTACCCACCAGGAATACAGCTTTTATAGAAAATATTCTCTACTCGCCTTACTGCTCAGCAGGGGTTGGAAATTAAGGGTGAGAAAACCCTTCCACTGATGACATTTTACTCCTGATCACCTCAGTTTAGTGGTTAATATTCAACTAATACACCTATAACCCTGAACTTTCCCCTTGGTGTTCTGAAGCATCAACACCTCCCTTTAAAAGGCTTAACCTGAGATGCCATGGAGAGTCTCTCTTGCAATAAGCAGAGTACCTCACCACAAAGCCAAACAGCAGTTTGCACTGCCCTTCTCTTAACTTCTTGAAGATTTTGTGTGCAAGGTGATTAACATTGCTTGCTTTCAGGAGTGAAACTCAATCCCCACACAGGTGCTTTGGTACCTGCAGAGAGTCACAGATTTCACAGTGGCCTGACATTTAGTTTCAGATAATCCCAAGTCCTATGCAGACTTTCAGATTTAAATTTCATTTGCTTTGTGATTTGAGGTTCTGTTTGTCTGGTGCAAACTCAGATAATACTCTGGACTGCATGAGAGTGCTCAGAAACAACGTTTCTCTCTCCTGACCCCTCCTCATCCACACTCAGACCACAGACAAGGAGAGGAGAGTCTGTTTATCTCTCACTCTCCCCTGCAGCCACCTGAGGAGGGAGATGATGAGAAATGGGAAACCCTCTGAAACCACTCCCCCTGTGGTTCAGAGGAGCTGGGGGAGTGCAAATAAAATAAATTACAACAGTGCAGAGGAAATGAGACTGAAAGGAGAGGCACAGCTGAGTCACAGTTATTTCTCTGATGTGTTTGGACACTGCTGAGCCCTTCCCAGCACAGTGACACCACACAGGTAAGCAGACTCCCAACCCTCACAAGCTAAAATTGCTAAAAAATGTACAAATCTGTCCTTGTTGTAACATGAGGCTGACACAATTAGCCTGACAGTCTGCTTTTTGATGCCTGTAGCTATTATTGAAGACATTCCTTTGAAATGTAACCAGAATAATAGTAAGAATGCAATAATTTTTCTCATTGCTATCAATTTATCTGGCTTTTCATCTATCATAAAATATTGGGTACCATCTGGTAAAGAACCCTTTTTCCCCACCCCCTTCTGCACTTCTTTTAAAGCAGCACTGATGAATCTATCTGACTAGGGGCTGTAAAAGGAAAGCAGATGGCACACTTATCACCCAAAACCCAGTCCCACAACTTTGTCCTTTACAAGTGTCTCTAGTGAGGAGGCAACTTGCTAATGATAGCAATTAACATCATGGAAATACCAGGAAGGCCAGAACCTGCAGACAGCATTTCTGATAAGCTCAGGGATTGATGCTTTTGAAGCCATCCAGACAGGTAGAAACCATTAGTGTCTAATGTTAATTCATCACAACTAATCAGGTCCTATGGGGTTTTACTTTGGTATAACAGTAGCTTGCTAGTAAATGCTAAATCAAGGTGAAAAAAAAATAGAGCTTTGTCTTTTGTCACAGTACAGGAGTCTCACGTTTTTGTTTATTACTCTCATGCTGTGTGGATGTTCAACATCAAGCTGTCCTGTGTACATTGTGGTTTGGTGAAAGTCACTCTTCCTCCTTTAAAGTAACTTTTCCCACTAAAGCAGAGGAGAAACTGTTTACAACAATTTAGTTGAATGAACCTTGTGCACAACAACTAATTTCAACATTGCTTTAGCCTGGAATTTTATTCTGTAATTGCAGGACTCCTTCATGAGAGGATGCAATGATAGGACCAGGGGTGCCTGGTAAGAGGACAGGGCTTTGAAGGAACAGCAGTTTGCAGAAGACTAATTGGTGAGTGTCCTTGCAGCAACCTACCAAAACTGAGCACTTTTCCTCATCTTGGTGTATTAAGATTATTGATCAAGAAAATTAATTTAGAAAATGCCAAATTTGCAACAAAGTTTCATTATAAACTCAATTCTGGCTTGCTGTCTACAACTCAAAGACATTTTGATCACAACACTGGTAAACTGACAACTGACTTTCTTCTGAAATTGAGGAATTCTACCATTCCCTAATGAAACACCTCTCTCTTTCAGTACCTTTCTCAGCCTAAGTGACTTACCCCTTTGTAGATGACATGGAAAGAAATGAGATTAAGTCTTGCTTTGACAAATGACCCTGGGTTTTGCCCTGGTAACTCTCAGTGGGAAAAATCCAGAAAACCATAATTCTAAAGATTGTCTCAAATTCTTAGCTGTTTCAATGATGAAGGGCCCTAACAGGCTTCAAGGAGAATGCCAACTTATTGCTGAGAACTCATCTTCCATTTAAAACTGAATAAAAGTTGATTTCTATGCAGCTTTATTACACAGGTGAAACACAAACTCTACAGCACTCATTAGGGAAAATATTTGTCCAATAACATTTAAACAAATCAGGGAAATCCACTGCGAATTCAACCATGCTTACTCTCCAAATGTTCATAGTAGCATTTTAATCAACAAGTTACTTCTATGTTAATTTAGAGTCTCCACAAATTAATTTTAACCTCAAAATGTAGTGGTTATTTTGTTAAGGTGGATATTTTGTAGTTGCATCTTTCCTCACTTTTAAAAGTAGGGCTAAGGGAAAATGAATGCCTAGACATTAAATAATTAGCAGGTATATGCACACATACAAATATATGCATATATTTTCCATTTCTGTTGAGTGGTTCAGGTCTTGGGGCAGGTCAGCAACCTGTGGTGAAATTAAAGTATTGTCTCATTCATGTTCCTGATAAATTCATCAGCACCCACGGTGGCTCCAGGATTACCGAGTGCCTGGGCAGATAAATCAGGGACTGCAACTGAACAACTGTTTGATCCCTTGTAGTCCTCCCTCTGGTCAGAAAAGTGGTGCATTAGTGAGACAGCATCTGGAATTTCACACTGTCACATTTGTTCAGAAGATCAATAGAAGACCTCTGTTCACAAGCCAGTCAATCTGTTACCTTTTATAAGCAGTAAATTCTCCTAGCAAAGCATGAAGAACAGGAATACAGTAGAAATTCATTTACTTTGATCACAGACAGATCTTGACATGTAGTTTCCACTGTAAGGACAATAGTTCTGAATGTTTTGAAGTTTTTCCCCTCCTGAGCTATAACACTAAAAAGTCAGTGTTAGTAAGTGTATGAATAAAAATCATTCTAACTTGAAAAATATGAAAATATAGCCATGTTTCCAGGCTTCTTAAGCCAGTTTTAATGCAGCTTTGGTCTTGTTCACTGTTTGGTTGGATGACCTCTTTAAAATGCTGTTGTCTACCAACAATCTAATCAATAAATTATTCACCTTTATAAACATTACCATAGCCTATAACTTGTCAGTAAAACTCCTTGAAGTTCTCATATTGTTATTTACATTCAGTAAGTAAACTAATAGTTTGCAAATCAAGACTACTGCAGTTATGAACAGTAGAATATATTTCATTGAGTTGCTCACTGTTTTACCACAAAGTGACATAAAACGAGATAGTCCATGCCAAAAAGGAAAAAATTCTGGATGTTTGTCTTTACCTCCTCCTCTTGACAGACCACCTCACAATTTAAACATCATTCCACTGATTCCTGAGGTGTCATTGCCATTTAACTTTGACACAGCTGAAACAAGCCAGCTACATCTACTGATCTTGCTTCACAAATGTCTGCCTTCTAAGCAGATGGTTCTAGCTTAGTATGATCTTACAGTTCTGATACAGTAAGAGATATTTATTGTTTTCCTTTATTATCTTGAGTATCATTCTTGTACCTTAAATACAAAACATTCAAAAGAAGAATATTCTTTCTAGAAACCTTATTTTTTAGTAATGAGTACTCCTTCAGAATATGATGCAATTATTTCCTCATGCTCTGTGGAATGTTTTTGGTGGGGTTTTTTTGTTTGTTTGTTTTGTTTTGTTATTTGGTTTTGTTTTTTTTTTTTTATTTTTTTATTTATTTGCCTCTCTCCTATAAGAAAGACCACATGAACTACAAATAATGTTAATGTAATACTAAAACCCTTAATTTGTCTTGGGCTTTTGTTTTACTAGGATTTTCCATTTAGCAACCTCACACACTTTTACTGTTAGTTGGAATGATACCAGTTGGAACCTAATAAGTAAGCATCACTCAAGGATCTTTTGCATTCACTATTTGAGATTGCTTGCAGTTCTCAATGAACACGCTCTCAACAGGAAAATGCCTCTCCCAGAGCTATATCTGAGAATTTAAAAGAGTATCTAGCAGTACGAAGTATTAAAAACTTTCCCAAAGATTATTTCACTTACCTTTCCAGATTTAAGGGCATTCTAGATGGTCTAGTCCATTTTCCATTTGCAGTTGCTTACTGCCGTACTCTATAATTCCCCACAGTTCCAGTTTAGATTAGGTCATGAGATTTCTTCTGGTTTAATTTACTCTAAAGCCAGACTCTTGCAATCCCTTCGTGTCCCTCTCCCTCCCTGTGCAGACAGCCCTCTCAGACTCCCCATGGTCAACCTCCCCCTCACTTTTCTCTGTTTTGTATTCTCAAAATCTCACATGACAAGGACCATACATGCTTCCTTTCCTTCTTCCTCAGCTTTCTATGTACTGTTTACTATCTCAAACTTTTATTTCCTTTCTCTCAGGTACTTAGTCTCATTTCTCTCCCCCACTGCCCAGTCTTTCCACTGTGTACAGGCTATATACATTTTATTTCTTCTTGCCAGGATTTGCAGCCCTTGACCTAAAGTACCCTTCTAACAGGCTACTCACTGGGAACTTTTCAACTGAAAAAAACAGATTATCAATTGACCCTATTTATGCTGAAGTCTTTAGCTTAGCTGTAGCTGTTTAATTAAGTGTCTGGCAGCTGAGAAACTGAGTATTAACCCCTTTGTGGCTGGCAAATACTAATGAACACCACTGACCTGAATAGCAATGACTATAACTGGCTCATAGATGACCCTACATCTACAGTTTGGTTCTCTCTCTACAGATTAAATGCTTGTGTGTGTTTTCTATTTCTTCATACTGAGGACAGGCTGAAAGAGCTGGGGTTGTTCAGTTTAGAGAAGAGAAGGCTCCAGGGAGATCTTATAGCAGCTTTCCAGTGTTTAAAGGGGGCTACAGGAAAGATGGGGAAGGACTCTTGACCAGGGAGTGTAGTGATAGGGCAAGGGGTAGCAGTTTCAAAGCGGGAGAGGGTAGATTTAGATGTAAGGAAGAATTTAGATGTGTGGGTGGTGAGGCGCTGGCCCAGGGTGCCCAGAGCAGCTGTGGGTGCCCCCTCCCTGGAAGGGTTCAAGGCCAGGTTGGACGGGGCTGGGAGCCCCCTGGGCTGGGGGAAGGGGGCCCTGCCCGGGGCAGGGGGGGTGGAATTTACAAGTTTAATAAGCAACTGCATTTATTGCATAGCAAACACCTTAGGGAAATTATGTTTGAGCCACATGATTCATAAGTGGTATGAGTCCGCCAATTCTGGGTGTGTCTATACTAATAGCTTATAAATCTAAGCTTTCATTCAAGCTAAAGATCATGTTTTGGGCACAATAGATGTCAGCTTGGATTTGGCTTTAGTCTAGAGCAAGCCAAAGGGCTGTCCTAGTAGGAATATTTGTGCTTATGGAGAGGCTGGCTCATGCAGAAATTTTGCCTCCTACAAGCTGTATTGAAGATGTGTCGTGAACAGGCTGGTGTCAGCCTGAGCCCGTGTCTGAGCACAGGTGCCAAAGTCACACAGAAGGTATGTGTGCACAGGGTGTTGGACGAACGGTTCTTTGAATTGAAGGCACTGTAGAGAAGCAACCAGAAAGATGGGCATTTCTGACAGGACATAGTGACTATGCTCTTAATTCCTAAAAGCCTAAAGGAATTGTTTACTTCTGCTTAGTCCTGCTGAGTCAGCACACCCCCAGGGGAGTGAGCTGTACTTGACCAGGGCTACAACAGCAGCAGCAACATGAAGTGAGTTTGAATGACAGTCTTTTCTGCTGAGAGTGACCATGCCTGTCTTGGCAAGAGCTCACTTGCCTTTCCCATCCTAGATCAGGTTTACAGGGCTGGCAGTTAGAAATGCTATTCTTTAAAGAGAGGTTAAGTTATCACAAGCTTTTTATGGAACTGTGTGAAAAAAATGTAAAGAAAGAAGGTATAATTTCATAAACTGCCTAAAAATAAAATCAACATTGTCTCTTGGACATGTACAGTTTTGATTACATGTTGTTTGAGAATTGCAGGTAATTATTAAACCTGAAAGAAGCCTAATATAATTCACAGAATATCAAATTTGTTTAGCCTGGTGAGATATTCCTATCACCCTTTCTTCTCATTCATCTTTTGACAAATCTCCAGTTTACTGATTTAAATGTTAAGACAAATATGCACCGGGAGATTCATAGACTTGCATTGGAAATTGTCAGAAGAAAATATGGATGAAAACAACTGATTTAAGGACTATAGTAAAAATGGATGGGAAAAAGAGTTGGTAAGCCATTGAACTATAAAAAGGGAGAAAAAAAATATCAGGTTTGCAGGTAGAATAAAGTGTTCAAGTCTGAGATGAATGATGCTAACAGTTTCTTTTTCCACCTCTGTGTACTATACTGGTACACTAGAGATGGCAGATACTAAAACAACCTAGTTTCTAGATGTGTTGATCTGCCTTATTTCAAGATCAAGTCCTGAAGTCAGAAGTGAATGAGACCAACTAAGGGAAACAGCAGATATTGACAGAAAACATTTTGTCTTGTCCCCTGTAGTTCCAGTTAGAGACATATGGAATTATAACCCCAAGACTACTTCATCTAT